GATAATTTCGTGGATGAAACTTGTTTGGTTTGACTTGAGAATTGATGCATAAGAGCAGAAATGCAAGACTAGGGATTTTGAAATGCTCGACTTTAGCTTCCTTTGGTTTACTGCAACTTTCGCGTAGCAAAACTATATCCATGGCACGATCTTTAGCAAAAAGCCGCCATTTCTTCCTCCGCTTGCCGCGGGAACTGGATTTGAAGGCCATACTCGAGTACTCTAATGCTATTGCGAGATTGATGATCTGTGTATGGCCTTCAGGACCTTGTCTCCGGAGATTCCCAATTAGATTTCTGACACACCTAACGAAACATAAACACAGAATCTGCAAGTATCGGAAACAGGCAAGGAAACATTCCAAGACCTACGCCCACAGGACCATCTGACCTGCAAACTGAAGCCGCAGGGTCCCATTGCTTGCTTACTCCACTCAATCCCGGACCCCTTCCCGAGTTTCTGGAAACCGCGTGGAGCCGCTAGGTTTATATCTTAGCACCAAGATTCAAAGCCATGGCTTGGTTTCCCTATACATCCTTGTAGTATTGCATTGCTTTCTCAGGCGGTGTCTGTGTCCCCGCTGGCGGGCGTCGCTTGTGTCGGCTTCCTCGCTTTTTTTTAACGACGCGTGGGTAAAAGAGGAAGTGGATGATGGCGATTAGCGGGAATAATGGTGGTGCTCCCAAGGAGTACCGGTGGTTTGGTTCGAAGGATGAGGGATCAACATGAGATGCCTTGGTGCGTCGGTATCTCCGTGGGATCTGTAATTTCTGGTGGTGGAGTGGGCAGAGTGAAGGGTGAGAAGGTGGAGTGCAGCATCAGGGGTTTATTTGGCGGTAACGGCGAGTCGATAATAGGTTGGCGTGTTTAGCTAATCCCGGTGGATGATTGATGACTTTATATGAGCCTCAACCCTGATGGTGACGACCTTTCTTTCAAGCCAGGTCCCAGTCGACACGTGGTCTATTCGGTTTGAAGGTCTTGTGTTGGTGTTTCTTCTTGCAGTGTCGGCTATACTTCCTGTATTGTTGTATTTCGGACAGTACACCTTGAATTAAAGGGGCTATTGGCTAGTAAAGATTGCCCACGGTAGCCCGCAGGGGGGGAGCTCTTTGATGAGAATCAGAATAGTTGTTTGATGAAAGCAAGGAAGCAAATCTCGAAGCTGAACCGCTGGACCGCTGCGCTGTTGGCGAAGTTGATTGGTCCCAAATGCGGAAATAAACACTTCATCCAGCATGCCAGCATCTGGGGACCTCTTTGGCGGTTCACTGTTCCGCATTATCGCACTACCGCCATGTTTTACAAGAAACGTGGCAGTACATCCAATTTAGTTTGATAGGTCGTCGTAACATGGAGAATCTATACCGATAGCAAGGTCTACGGCGCTGCATGCAGAAAGCCGTGTAATGTAATTCTTCGGTTGGAGGCGTAGGGTCAAGCAGGACTAGAAGCGTATATAAATGTTTTAGGTTTTGTCTGCATAAGAGAGGGTCAAAATCACTATAGAGAGAAACATTCAAGTAATTCTGCTACTTCGTACAAGAGGCTCGGACTTGGAGATCGTTTTGTGCATTGAAGCCTCTCGGCTGGACTGACAAAGAGAAGTGGAGCATTTACAAGCTGGTATTAGAATTTTAGAAGGCGTGGTCACTAAACTTTAGGGCGGGGATTTAGAGCGTCCTAATACCAAAGTTCGAAAGTGAAGCTAGAAAATGGTGGTAAAGTGCTGTGAGTACTAAGTAGCGATGGGTGGCCCCCTACGGAGGTAGCCCCTACTGGCGGGAAAAGGATTTATTTGCAAGGGTAATTGGAATGTTAAATTTAGTTATACTTCGAAGTACGGAGTAGAAACTATAGACCTATGCATGGTATATGACAAGGGTGAAGGACCGGCGCGCGGGCAAGGGTAAATCGAAACATTCGCGCTCATGCGCATAGCATCATACTATAGCAAAGTGCTGACTGCCGTGATGGATTGATCAGCTGTTCCTAAAAAGGGGGACGGGTACGTACCTCTGACATATAGTACTGCGCACTGAACTCTCAACTACCCTTAGACTTCCTGCAACATAAGTTCCATGTCCTAAGTATGCGTATGCGTAGACATGCATCCGTGGAATTGCTGCATTATTTTATCAGATACTGATCAAGTACTTACATCGTATCAAGCAATCGCATGAATTGCGTGGGTCTGTGGGAGCAAGCCTCGGCAAGGTTGGTGATGCTTGTGCAGTCCACTATAGTACTCCGTACGTGCGGGAACCGGGCACTGGACCCTAGCCTGGCGCTCTTCCCGTCAAATCGCCGCGAACCAGACTGACGGGTTCTGCTAGAAACGCACTGGGTTGCAATGATCCAGCGCCAACCAGTCACGTTGCGTTGGCCTTGCCGGTTTCGAGAAGGCGGGTGGAAAAGACAGGGCGGATTGGGAACAGCGACTGGACTGTACAGCAGTAGTGTAGTGTTGTGCCGCAACTGCAAAAGGAGCTGAGCTTGGGATCCGAGTAGAGAGAGGGTCATTTGATGTGCTGGTGAAGACACATGTGCCCTAGACATCGTACAGTACAACACTTTATTCTGTACTGCTGGCCTGGTAGATTTATGTGATGTCGACGATCTCTTTTGTACGGAGTAACCATCCGTAGTGGTGGCTTCACTTCAAGCACCTGGCACTTATCAAATTCCCTCAGTCAGTCTCCCTAGTTCCTCTGCTGCATAGAGGCTGCCTGGCGCATCGCCATGCAATCACCGTCTCCTTTCATGTCGATACGAGTAACCCAAGGAACAGAGGGAAAATCGAACCTATCCCCGTCGATACCAGAAAATAGATCTTCTCATTTAGGGCTTACACCAACTGGACCCCCCACTCCCTACTAACAAGTCTGCACCAACATTAGCAAATCAGGGTTAGACAGACCGTCGAGCGATATAGATTCTGTGGGGCATCTGCTTGCCCATGCACTCGGTCTGCCTGCTAGGATTCCCTGTAACAGAACAAATATTCCGAAGCAATGCCTTATGTGGCAAGCAGGCTCTGCAGGGCAGTTCAGCGGCAGAGACGTCGCCGAGATGGTTTACTTCCCCTTATTTCCGTCTCATCATTTGCTGTCGCCACGGACAACCTCCTGAAAACTGCTTGATGCCTCTAGAACCCTTGCCTGTGTGCGTCTGTGTGATAATATATGAAATATTATTGGTATTGGTGAGAATTATGTGGCGCCTCGGTGTTTCCCACAAGGAACATAGTAGGGCTTGGAAAAGATCTCCACTCTTACCAACCATGGCTCCCGCCCGCACCTGCCGTACTGTACGGAGTAGTCCTCGAGGCGTTAGATATTCCCAAGCTACAGTATCCTATCTGATCGACGAATGGGTCGTGCTCGTGCTCCCATGTCAGTAGCAGCGGTCCAAGAATAAATAAAACGAGTTGCCGCCCATCTGTTAACCTCGATATTCGCAAACCATTGTCCATTTCCTTTCTACTTTTTTCCGTTCTTGGAAACTTTTCTCTCGGCCTCTGGTTCTTGAAGAGCAAATCTCTCTCTCTCTACCACCACCGTAGACTCCTTGAGTACCGCAGACAAGGACCTAGCACTGGTTTGCAATTGACATACGTTGGCTACTTCTCGATTTTCGAACGTAGTCATCCCTACCCAGAGCCAAGAATAGGCAAACAGACAATTGAAACGGCAATTTTCACGAATCATTCAATACAGACAAATTTGGGCAAGGCTAGATATTTTCACAAACGACCTGAATTCTCAGATCTACAGAGACGTCACACCATTTTTAGAGCGAGAGGCGACTTGCATCAATCCTTCTGGGCGTACAATACCGGTCAAGCAGCCATTGATATCTGGGGATATTTGAATTGACCCAAAAACCACCCACGCGACATATTCGATCTTCAGCACTCTTCTTGCGGCTCTGTACTTGGAGTTGGGATCATTTTGCGACGGAATTGAGGATAAAACTGTTCCCTGCGTTCTCTGTTGCCAGTCCATAGATTTATTCCACAACGTTCCTTCGTTCCTTCCCCTCGTCCAAACAGCACTACTTGCGCCATATCGAACGGGCACTTTCCCCCCGCGAGTCATCAAGAAATCCCTGTCGAGATTTCTTGTATCGATCCTTGCCCCTCGCCCTCGCCCCTCCACGGTCCTACACAGCGCCTGCATATCTGTGTGTCCACCAACGCACTAGGCTCACAGGAGCCCAATTATTCCCAGCATCCCAGGACCAGCCATCTTGCTGGAGTCTGCAGCAGCAATCTAGCGTCCCGCAAAGTCTAATTCATTCCCGCCGCCAGTGTATTTCAGTGCTTTAGAAAGTCCCTCGGCGCTGCTGCCAATACCATTAACCTCAGAAATCTAGCAGGCCATCTCTGGCTACTCCCGTTGTGAGGCGCTATACTACAGTACCTACATAAAACATCCTTGAACTGATAGTGGGACTGCAAGCAAGTCTGAACCCCGAAGCAAAGCGGCCAGTCCTTGACCAGCAGCGAATATACCACTGCACTTGCATGACCACACCCACTTTGCTAGCATCCGCAGTTTATTCTTCCGGTCTCTTTCTCTATCACATATCTGTTCCTGTTATTATTTGTGCCACTGCACTACAGTCGCTGAACCGCCAAACCACCAAAAGCCAAGACCCAAAGTTTTCATCCCGCGCTTGCGACAGAAGCTCTTTTTATAGACCACCGAGAATCATTAGCACTTCGACTCCCAGCGAGAGGCACGACACTTCCTGTCCCGTCTCTCGCGAGTCTCCAAAATCGTAGCCATGGCCGTTAATGGGTACGTGCTTCACTCCGGCTCCTCGACAGAAGGTTCGCAGACCATTGTGCGGGGTACCAGTGGCTCGACCTCACTTTCCACGTCAGTCGCTATCACATTTTCCCCATTCTCCAGTTGCTTAGTGATCTTAATGCGAAATCAATTTCGGCATAGCTAGAGTTCTGTATCCATGCTGACCTTGTGCCGTCCTGTAGTATGTCTCTTTCCACTCCGCCCGCTCCTGTTCCCCGAATTCCAGGGAATTATATAGAAAACGGCCGGGAATATCACGCATTTCGGAAAGGGAAATATCTATTCCCATGCGACGAGGTGAATAAAGCCTTCTAATGCTTGCCTAGACGGCAGAGCGGTGAATGTGGGATGTGCTAACTTGGGGCATTCTACAGACAGAGATGGATCGCATGGACATATATCACAAGTTTTTCTCTGTGGCAAGGCGTGAAGCATTACATTCAGCCCCTTTGACGCCGAACTTTGATGGCCCCCGGATATTAGACCTAGGGACAGGCACCGGGATATGGGCAATCGATATGTGCGAGTAAGCAAATCCCAGGCTCCACGCCCAGTAACACTGTGATGGAGAACGAATTGTTGATGGGGTTTTAGGAGCCAATACAGAAACGCAGAAGTCCAGGGCGTAGATCTAACGCAAATACAACCAGAACAGTAATATTTTATTCGGCCTCTCCGAAAGACCTTGCTGATTAAAACCTACAGGATTCCCCCAAATTTGACTTTCTTGCAAAGAGATATCGAGGGGGCATGGCACGGCATGGGTGAAGAATCGTGGGATCTGATCCATATGCGAATGCTTAATGGCTGCATTGAAAATTGGCGGGACATATATACTAAAATCTTCAGGTGAGAAGACCAGTTCCAAACCTTTGTCCGGAAGTCTAATGTTTGCTTATTTTGGCAGGCACCTGAAACCAAACTTTGGATGGGTTGAGCACGTCGAAATTGATATGCTTCCTCGCTGTGACGATGGGACACTTCCGCTAAACTCTCAGCTGGTCAACTGGACTCGCGCTATCTACGAAGCTACGGAACTGGCCTACCGTCCAATGGCCTACAACACCCAGACTCGGGCAATGCTTGAGAGCGTAGGCTTTGTAGATATCTCGGAAGAGGTAATCAAAATACCATTGAACCCTTGGCCTACAGATCCACATCTGAAGGACATTGGACGATGGTACAATTTAGGGCTCACTCAAGGACTAGAAGCCCTCTCGTTGGCACCACTAATGAGAGTCAAGAATTGGAAAAGATCAGAAGTGGACCAAATTGTCCAAGAAGTGAAGATGGAGGTTTGCTCCAAGAGAATCCACGCCTATTGCAATATGTAAGTGCTTGCTCTAATGGACTATTCTTCCTGATCTATCACGCATCTTCAGCCCTAAATCGGAAACTCCTCATGCTAATAACTTCTCACAGGCATATCTGGATCGCCCGCAAACCCGCCGCCTAAGGTTGGAACGATCCTCATTGCAGTCAAGCAAAACCTGGAGGGGATCCCCGGCATGATCGTGTTGGGCGCCCATCATTTCTGCGCATGGCGCGCAACTCCCCCCATGACGGGCAGGGTCAGTTTATCCCCTCACTGAGACCATTTCGAGGCCAAGGATTTTAGCCAGGCGAAGCTTTCAGAGCCGGCGTTAGAAGGCAAGGCAGACTGGAACCCCTCAACAAACCGCCAATCAGGGTGAGGTATGCGCGTAAATGGAGTATGCATATGTGCATATGCACCTTGTAGCGCTCAATCACTCACAAATTTCTGACTGGGATCCCTGTCTGGCGGCTGGAACGGATGATCAGCGAATGAGCCCCGAATGGCCTGCGATCAAAACGGAAGGTGGTGATGCCACTTCCCCAACACATATAATTCGCTCGGTGAGCCCAGACGCCCAACCGCTAACAACAAGCGGTCCGTACCGACCGGAAAGCCTTCTACCGCCAGCGGGCTGCAGACAACACACATCACGGCAGGGCATCCGTTATGTTGGAAACGCCTTTCGACGAAGATGGGAAGGTCGCTGTTACACGATTCAGCTCGTCTGTGGCACAATGCCTGCCTGGGCCAATGTCTGTCTCGGCAATGACCCGACCACTTGGGCATTACGAAGTGATACGCAGGCTCATTTTCCCACTGACCCGACCCACTGCCGGACTGCAGCCTAGCGTACAGGATGGTGGGGTCGTCTTGTGACGTGTCAAGGGTGGGGGGATATGAGCTGGCATACCCGACGAACAGGACGAGACAAACAATTTAAGTAAGCCAGCCACTGGAACGAACTTGCTTTTTCGACATGCGTGTCAGACTGAGAGGCTTTCATGGGACAGGGGAAGGAGAGTTCCGAGGCAGCGGTAGCGAAGGATTGGTCTGGAGCTTACTTTGTAACCATACGGAGGATCGATCGGGATCGATTCTCGGACTTAGGCCTGTTGACATGATCGACAGTTGTATAATGTTAGTCTTATTGCTTCGAACAAGGGCCTTGCTTTATTCTGACGACGACTGCTTGAGGCGGTGTGATATTCGAGAACGTGGGGTTAAAAATAGGACGAAACGAAACGAAACATGCCAGGGAGGGAACCTTCTCGAGGGGTCAAGCCTGCAACCCAGCATTTGGTTTTTGCCACAGAAACTGGGCGTATACCTTTGTAGAGGACCGCAAGACACATAATCGTACGATAAAGGGTTCCGATCCTCAACGCCTACCACACGACGAATATGCGTTGATGAGCTCTGCAGCCTCTTGGACAACGAATGAGATTTCATAGGAGGAGGAAAAATTCATACAGTACGTACGACTGACTTGCATTTGGAAAAATCAATCTACTGGATCTGGTGGATAAAGGAAGGAGCGAATCGCACATAATCACGGCCGTCTTTCAACTGCTTTTTGCTGAGCGCTTTAGCTGATGATATCCAGTGAGCGAGGCGTCCGTGGTGTAATTTACTTTAGTCTTTATGGTATGATATGATGTATGTATATATAATGTGTTCCAATACTATAATGGTTTTATTTTACTGTTAGTCTGTCAACTGAGGGATTTCTTTAGGCATTGATTGTTCATTGCTTCGATTCTCTTGCCCGAAAATCTCCTTACAAGTGAAGGGGTGATTTCTTTGCTTTAAATAACTGGTTTGCGCTGGGTGTTTAGATGTATAGTTGTTTGTGCTGGACCACGTGATTGGGTTAGATGGTGTGGATTGCCTTTTATCGAATTCAAAAGGTTAGGCCTGGCCTGTAGCTAGGTACTTGTGTTTGACATTCCATCCCATTTGTCTTTTTGGTCGTGTAATTCTGGAATTTACTTTCGTTTCTGGTTACGGTACTGTTTTGTCGATGCATTCATTGAGCGTGACTACGCAAAGGAAGGTATCTGTCACGTGCTTTCGTTTATACTTCTTCAAGATGAGAAGACGGGTATTGTAGGGATTTTTGAAAATATCTACTCGGTTGGAATAGATAGGGTAGTGAAGGATTAGATTAAACACGGTACGCTATATCAGACATCCTTTCAATCACGTGTGCATATTATACCAATGGAATTCATTCTCTTTGCAAACCACCCCCTCCGTTCCGAATCCAAGACAGGATTTCTACCCTACCTGGTAATTGTGAGTCATGTAATCTTACAATACACGCTGGCATAGGATTACAGACAAAAATCCAAAACCAGAGTATCGAAATCATCAACGGCTTCCGCACGCCCGCACACACGCACGCACGCTCATTCGTCGTTACCGAGGCATGGCATGGCATGGCATGGCACGGCACAGCATAGCTAGCTGCCGCGCTCTCCTGAACTCCAAATCCAACTCTATATGCAGTATGTAGGTTTCTGCATCGATGCATATTTGTAGGCAGAGTTCGGACTCGAGCGGGTCTTTTTCGTTTTTCTTTTGGGGGTATGTAGGGTCGGGGTGGGAGTGGGAGTGGGAGTGGGGTATTGGAAGGCAAGGGTTTGGTCTGAAGGGGGGTGAGTGTGGTGCGGATGGCGGGGAGGGGGTTTGTGGGGGTTCAGGTGGATAGTTCGCTTGTTGTGGAGTGAAGTGAAGTGAAGTGGCGTTGGAGTCGGAGTTGGACTAGAGGGCATAAGGGGGGTTGTAGAGGGGAGGGGATGGAGAGTAAAAGGCCGTGGTTATGGGTTTTTATGCGGGTTAAGATCCAAGTGAGGAAGCTACTGCTATCACGGTGAGTTCTGCAAATTGGTATAGAGGAGAGGCTGGTATAAGAGTGGGGGGAGCTTGAGGAGATGAAAGTTGCGTATTGGGAATTCATAGGGGAAGGCTTTATGTGCAATGGCATTGTTGATTGGGGTATCTTGTTTTGGTTGATGGGGCTGCGAGGAATGATTTGAATGGATGTATGTATAGGGATGGAAACGGAGAAAGAGGGCGACCAGAACCTATTTATAGAATTTACGTCAAGTACGAAGTCATAGTTACGAGATCATACAGAGGGTTAAAGGTAAGTAGAACATTGCCTAGGAGCGAAGGACACTTATAGTTGGAGTGTTTGGTAAAGAGAGGATACGGGATGGAAAGAGCGAGAAATTGCAAAACTCTGCATTTTTTCCGTATATGAAGTCGGGACGGGAGGTATGGGATGTTGTCATAGGAAGTCATAGTAGTTGTACTGACCTTTGGTTTTATATCTCTAGTTTGCATTTCCTTCTCGACAAACAATATACCTACTATTTGTTTTCCTCGGTCGAAACATGAAATGGACGAGTACGCTTGACCTTAGTTAGCTCTACGAGTACTATCAACCACTCGATACAGTCTCATGGTACTTTTCTGAATTTGTAAGTAAAAGGAGTTGAATATCCCGTGATTCTTCGTCTCACTTTCCAAGTAATTATCTCCATAAGGTATTACCTCCTATGTGCATGTGACTGCACCTATTAGATACCAGAAATAATACGCTTGTTATAATAACAGCTACTTATAGTAATCACTCACGAGTTCATTTGTCTCGCCATGTGATCCGCAGCTTCTGTTAACTGGTTAGGCACGCGCTGTCATACCAACCTTGTTAACAGCATATCATCATGCTGTCAAACGATTGAGAATTCGAGCAAATGAGCTTAAAAACTATTTATATCTCATATAGAGGTTAAGTAGTAATAAAGTATACTCTCTTTCAAGATTCAGAGTTAAAAGAATGCTGCGTCGGCAAAAAGAGGGGCCGAGACTCGGGAGAAGGGCGGGGCAAACAGAAGAGTGAAAAAAAAAAAAGTTTTCCCTCTTAGCAACCAAGCCCGAAAGAAATGCTAAAAAAATTAAACTTTACATGTTTTGACCTACGCAGGGATCGAACCTGCAATCTCTTGATTCGTAGTCAAGCGCCTTGCCATTGGGCCAGCAGGCCAGTTTGTTTGATGACAGATATGGTTCATTATTATCTATATAGCTGGCATTATAAGACATTTGAATTGTTCCCTAGGCGTTCCCTGCAGGTGAGATCGATTACTCCGTAAAAACTTTCCCCAAGAGATTTCCGTGCGAATTTGCATCAAAACGAATAAATTTCTCTAAACCCTATCCTTTATTAATACTATTTCTACAAGTTTTATCATTCTTATATAAAAATATCACTCGGGAGCTTTAAGAGCAATAAGAATAAATACAACCATGCAAGAAGATCATGTCACATGAACTGTACTGAAGAGGGGGCCTCAGAACCACCACAGCGCACATCTCGGACACAAATTCTAGACAACATATCCTCTTTCCCACCCTATGCGTAGCCTTTCTAATAGCAACGGTACCAACATATCCATTCAACTAGATCAATAAACTCAGCAATGTCTACTCCGCATTCGTGTTCACATTTACCCCGCGGAAGTTAAAAAGTTGCCAGAATAGTTGCTGGTGATTAATGATTATTATTCTTATTCCTTTATCTTCATATAAGTCCTCCACATCCTTCTCATCGTTTTTTGGTCTGGAAGGGCGAAAGCTAGGGCGAAAGATGTATCCTCGATCAGCGAAGGAGAAGGAGAAGGTGAAGAAGAACGATCTTCCGCTCCACGAAACTCAGCGTCAAGATCCTCGTCTATCTCCATATCCAGAATTCCCCCTTCCTTTGCAATCTCGTAGCAGTGGTCTGGAATGACCGTTTCATCTTCGATTTTCTTTTTCATCTCCTTCTCCGGACCCGCCATTCCCTTTCCCGTCCTGTTATCTCCACCACTATCCTCCTCCCCATCCTCAGTCAAATCAACCACGCCCCCATCGCCCGCATCAACTTTCATCCATCCCCCCCTCCCAACACTAACATCAACCTCCTGATCCACCTTCGAAAACCCCTTGACCTTAACCGCAACCTCCTCCGCCCCACTCCCTTCCCTCGTAATCCGAATCTCGAGTTGAATCGTCGTTTCTTGGTACGTGATTATCTCCTTATCGCTGGTGATTGCCTGTAGGTATATTCACTCTTGTTAATATTCATTCAC